TCAGAATTCGTCTCAAAAATCACGCTCAGGAGTCAAATTTCCGACATTTCAAATATTTTGAAAACTGCAGGGGGGGTTTGGGCAAATTATGACTCATCGCCGTTTTAGTAATTGGCATATTTTCGGTATAAAAAGTCGTAATTTGAAAATGAAAATAGGTGCAGAGAGTCAGAATTTGGCTAAAAAATCACGCTCAGGAGTTAAATTTCCGACATTTCAGATATTTTGAAAACTGCAGGGGGGTTTGGGCAAAATATGACCCATCGCCGTTTTCAGTAATTGACATATTTTCGATATCAAAAAAATAATTTGATAATGAAAATAGGTGCAGAGAGTCAGAATTCGGCTCAAAAATAACGCTCAGTAGTCAAATTTTTGACATTTCAGATATTTTGAAAACTGCTGGGGGGTTTGAGCAAAATATGACCCATCGATGTTTTCCGTAATTGGCATATTTTCGGTATAAAAAGTCACAATTTGAAAATGAAAATAGGTGCAGAGAGTCAGAATTCGGCTCAAAAATCACGCTCACTAGTCAAAGTTCCGACATTTCAGATATTTTGAAAACTGCAGGGGGGTTTGGGCAAAATATGACCCATTGCCGTTTTTAGTAATTGGCATATTTTCGGTATAAAAAGTCGTAATTTGAAAATGAAAATAGGTGCAAAGAGTCAGAATTCGGCTCAAAAATCACGCTCAGGAGTCAAATTTCATACATTTCAAATATTTTGAAAACTGCAGGGGGGTTTGGGCAAAATATGACCCATCGCCGTTTTTAGTAATTGGCATATTTTCGGTATAAAAAGTCATAATTTGAAAATAAAAATAGGTGCAGAGAGTCAGAATTCGGCTCAATAATCAGGCTGAGGAGTCAAATTTCCGACATTTCAGATATTTTGAAAACTGCAGGGGGGGTTTGGGCAAAATATGACCCATCGCCGTTTTCCGTAATTGGCATATTTTCGGTATAAAAAGTCGTAATTTGAAAATGAAAATAGGTGCAGAGAGTCAGAATTCGGCTCAAAAATCACGGTCAGGAATCAAATTTCCGACATTAGACATATTTTGAAAACTGCAGGGGGGTTTGGGCAAAATATGACCCATCGCCGTTTTCCGTAATTGGCATATTTTCGGTATAAAAAGTCGTAATTTAAAACTGAAAATAGGTGCAAAGAGTCAGAATTCGTCTCAAAAATCACGCTCAGGAGTCAAATTTCCAACATTTCAAATATTTTGAAAACTGCAGGGGGGTTTGGGCAAAATATGATTCATCGCCGTTTTTAGTAATTGGCATATTTTCGGTACAAAAAGTCGTAATGTGAAAATGAAAATAGGTGCAGAGAGTCAGAATTTGGCTAGAAAATCACGCTCAGGAGTTAAATTTCCTACATTTCAGATATTTTGAAAACTGCAGGGGGTTTGGGCAAAATATGACCCATCGCCGTTTTCAGTAAATGGCATATTTTCGGTATAAAAAGTCATAATTTGAAAATGAAAATAGGTGCCGAGAGTCAGAATTCCGCTCAATAATTAGGCTCAGGAGTCAAATTTGCGACATTTCAGATATTTTGAAAACTGCAGGGGGGTTTGGGCAAAATATGACGTATCGCCGTTTTCCGTAATTAGCATATTTTCGGTATAAAAAGTCGTAATTTGAAAATGAAAATAGGTGCAGAGAGTCAGAATTCGGCTTAAAAATCACGCTCAGGAGTCAAATTTGCGACATTTCAGATATTTTGAAAACTGCAGGGGGGGGTTTGGGCAAAATATGGCGTATCGCCGTTTTCCGTAATTAGCATATTTTCGGTATAAAAAGTCGTAATTTGAAAATGAAAATAGGTGCAGAGAGTCAGAATTCGGCTACAAAATCACGCTCAAAAATCACGCTCAGGAGTCAAATTTCGGACATTTCAGACATTTTGAAAACTGCAGGGGGGTTTGGGCAAAATATGACCCATCGCCGTTTTCAGTAATTGGCATATTTTCGGTATAAAAAGTCGTAATTTGAAAATGAAAATAGGTGCAGAGAGTCAGAATTCGGCTCAAAAATCACGCTCAGGAGTCAAATTTCGGACATTTCAGACATTTTGAAAACTGCAGGGGGGTTTGGGCAAAATATGACCCATCGCCGTTTTCAGTAATTGGCATATTTTCGGTATAAAAAGTCGTAATTTGAAAATGAAAATAGGTGCAGAGAGTCAGAATTCGGCTCAAAAATCACGCTCAGGAGTCAAATTTCGGACATTTCAGACATTTTGAAAACTGCAGGGGGGTTTGGGCAAAATATGACCCATCGCCGTTTTCAGTAATTGGCATATTTTCGGTATAAAAAGTCGTAATTTGAAAATGAAAATAGGTGCAGAGAGTCAGAATTCGGCTCAAAAATCACGCTCAGGAGTCAAATTTCGGACATTTCAGAAAATGAAAATAGGTGCAGAGAGTCAGAATTCGGCTCAAAAATCACGCTCAGGAGTCAAATTTCGGACATTTCAGACATTTTGAAAACTGCAGGGGGGTTTGGGCAAAATATGGCGTATCGCCGTTTTCAGTAATTAGCATATTTTCGGTATAAAAAGTCGTAATTTGAAAATGAAAATAGGTGCAGAGAGTCAGAATTCGGCTACAAAATCACGCTCACGAGTTAAATTTCCGACATTTCAGATATTTTGAAAACTGCAGGGGGGGGGTTGGGCAAAATATGACACATCGCCGTTTTCAGTAATTGGCATATTTTATGTATAAAAAGTCGTAATTTGAAAATGAAAATAGGTGCAGAGTGTCAGAATTCGACTAAAAAATCACGCTCACGAGTCAAATTTCCGACATTTCAGATATTTTGAAAACTGCAGGGGGGTTTGGGCAAAATATGACCCATCGCTGTTTTTAGTAATTGGCATATTTTCGGTATAAAAAGTCATAATTTGAAAATGAAAATAGGTGCAGAGTCAGAAGTCGTTTCAAAAATCACGCTCAGGTGTCAAATTTCCGACATTTCAGATATTTTGAAATATGCAGGGGGGTTTGGGTAAAATATGACCCATCGCCGTTTTCAGTAATTGGCATATTTTCGGTATAAAAAGTCATAATTTGAAAATGAAAATAGGTGCAGAGAGTCAGAATTCGGCTGAAAAATGACGGTCAGGAATCAAATTTCCGACATTAGACATATTTTGAAAACTGCAGGGGGGTTTGGGCAAAATATGATCCATCGCCGTTTTCCGTAATTAGCATATTTTCGGTATAAAAAGTCGTAATTTGAAAATGAAAATAGGTGCAGAGAGTCAGAATTCGGCTCAAAAATCACGGTCAGGAATCAAATTTCCGACATTAGACATATTTTGAAAACTGCAGGGGTGTTTGGGCAAAATATGACCCATCTCCGTTTTCCGTAATTAACATATTTTCGGTATAAAAAGTCGTAATTTGAAAATGAAAATAGGTGCTGAGAGTCAGAATTCGGCTCAAAACTCACGCTCAGGAGTCAAAGTTCCGACATTTCAGACATTTTGAAAACTGCAGGGGGGTTTGGGCAAAATATGACTCATCGCCGTTTTTAGTAATTGGCATATTTTCGGTATAAAAAGTCGTAATTTAAAAATGAAAATAGGTGCAGAGAGTCAGAATTCGGCTAAAAAATCACACTCAGGAGTTAAATTTCCGACATTTCAGATATTTTGAAAACTGCAGGGGGGTTTGGGCAAAATATGACCCATCGCCGTTTTCAGTAATTGACATATTTTCGGTATAAAAAAATAATTTGGTAATGAAAATAGGTGCAGAGAGTCAGAATTCGGCTCAAAAATAACACTCAGGAGTCAAATTTTCGACATTTCAGGTATTTTGAAAACTGCAGGGGGGTTTGGGCAAAATGTATGGTGTTTATAAATCTTGTTTATCTGTATCTTTTGCTACCCAGTCTCCCAATCTTTATGTACCCAATCTGAACATCTTTACCATTGTGATCATTGCTGTCTTATATGTGCTGTCAATCTGCTGTATGGTGTCTATTAACTTTGTTTAAATTACTGATCAAGCTGTCAATGTAATCAATCAGAGCTTTAATATAACAATATGCTTTAATATACCTACTTATCTCTCTCATCTCATTTTTCTCTTGTAATGTATCTTTATCATTTATCAATTCTGATTGAAATGACCTTAAAATTATCTGCTAGATTAAGGACCTGCCCGAAACGCTGCGCGTACTAGTGGCTTTACAAGAATGTAAATACTGTACTATCCAATGTATTCTCACAAACCCAATGTACCTTCTTATATATATATAAATAAATAAATAAATAAATATGATCCATCGCCGTTTTCCGTAATTGGCATATTTTCGGTATAAAAAGTCGTAATTTGAAAATGAAAATAGGTGCAGAGAGTCTGAAATCGAGTCAAAAATCACGCTCAGGATTCAAATTCCTGATATTTAAGATATTTTGAAAATGCAGAGTGGTTTGGGCAAAATATGACCCATCGTAGTTTTCAGTAATTGGCATATTTTCGATAGAAAAGTCGTAATTTGAAACTGAAAATGTTTGAGTGTATCTTGAGGTTATCTTGAGATGATTTCGGGGCTTTAGTGTCCCCGCGGCCCGGTCCTCGACCAGGCCTCCACCCCAAGGAAGCAACCCGTGACAGCTGACTTAACTCCCAGGTATCTATTTACTGCTAGGTAACAGGGGCATTCAGGGTGAAAGAAACTTTGCCCATTTGTTTCTACCTCGTCCGGGAATTGAACCCGCGCCACAGAATTACGAGTCCTGCGCGCTATCTACCAAGCTATGAGGCCCCTACTATGTACTAGCTCTATCTAGTATGTACTAGCTCTATCTATAAATCCAACATTATAGTTATAACTCATCATCTATGTATGTTTTTTCATCTCAATAAAAATTTGAATTAGAATTTGAATTTAATGTTAGGATCCATGTTCGAATTTGGCGGTATTTGTGGGAGTGTGAAACTGGCCGCTCCCCGCCCGCCACCACTTGCCGTTTTCTGTGGCGGGCGTGAGACGCAGGCGGCCAGACAGACCATCCCGAGACACCGACCTCGCAAGTCCTCGCTCCTACACCTCCACGATGTCTCAAGACAACCTCAAGGTAGTTAGACGCCATTTATTAATTTCGTATCTATTTTGGCATGAATCTAAATAAAGTATTTGTATATTGTGTAAGAATAAGATAAACCAAGTTAGAATTCCTTATATAGGTATGGATATTACTGGAATTGATATATAATTCAGTATATATTGGGCCTATATCGAAGTTCCTTCTACTAGGGTCGAATTACTGATAATGTTTGAGGATAAATGATTTGTATATCATTACTATAATGATATCATTACTATATCATTACACGATTAGTAGTTTTACACAGGCTTCACGAGTTTTGTGTTAAGACATAATGGCAATATACATTACAGCATTATATATGTAAATTTGAATCAATCTTGGAAATCTAGGGTAATATTTTAAAGGTTCTTGGAGGTTTATATTTGTTCGCCAAATAGTTTTGTGGGAATGTGAAAGGGAGCAGCAATTAACACATTACGTGCGTTAACGACCTATTATATATTCACCTGAATTTACCAAAGGATCACAAACACTAGTTGCCTCAATAAGGACAGGACACCGGCGGCTTGTCAAAGGTATTTCCCTCCCCCCATTTGCCTGGGTGATTTTTTTTTTTCAGTTGGATTCTAAAAGTTAATAGTTTTGGCATTTACGGCTTCGGCGGGTAGGCAGTTCCCTGGGTTTATAACTCCGTGGGTGAAAAAGCATCTCCTGTTTTCAGTCCTACATTGGGGCTTGTTGAGCTTGAAACCGTTGATACTAGTTTGTCACATCTGACCTATTTTGAAGAAATTTTCCGGATCAACATTCTTCAAATTGTTCAGTATTTTAAGTTTAGACGAAATCCGCCTCGTTGTGCTTGGTTTGCAGAGCCCTGTGGTCCCTCGACTGTTCCTGATACGAGAGTTGACTTAACTCTGGTGTGATTTTATTGCCCGGTGTTGCACTTTCTCCAGAGCAACAATGTCCTTCTGAAGATGTCTCCATGCCTCGATGCAATAATCCAGTGAGGGCGCACCATAGACTTGTACATTCCATTATACTAATAAGTTTATTTGACTTGTACAATTGAATGACTACCTTTTTAATATTTAAACACTTCAGTTCTGGCCATTGAATTCATAATTCAATATATGTTTGCATTGTTTAACTGCATATAGGTTGTTATTAATACCTAACTTACATAGTATATTTGGCCAGCATTCAGAGATCAAATATAGACATTTAATATCTGCAGTCGAGCGAAACGGAATGGAGAATTATTTTTTTTATTAAACTTTAAAGTAGAAGCGTAGTTGGACACAACCCACATGATGACAGTTCACAAATAAGTGGCCCCAGTAGAGACGCTGAGCCAGCATAAGTGGACAACCCATCCTCCTGTTTTGGTAGTGCTTATAGTAACGATGAGGACCATAGTATATATACCGACGTACAACGATGTTAGAAAGTGGAAATGGGCACTATTGAGTTGGACAAACGGGAAAACTATTTTCTACTTGTGTTGCAAAGACAAACGAAACTACCCTAACGTTCATAGGCCTAATAGACATCTGAGGCCTAATGTGCTATACTAGGCCTATGAATATTTTTTGCTCCATTTTTTCCGACTCGATAAACTGAATAGTACCAAGTTCTATCTAATTGCTTAGAACGGCAATCTTTGTATAAATCATGTTGTATAAATTATTTTTGCATGTTACAAAATTTATCTAAACAGGAATAGGCTGTAGGACATAACTCTGAATCTATCGGCAGAGGCACACATTAACAAAATACCGAGGGCTGCATATGCCACCCTGGCAAACGTCCCGTTATCCTTCAGGAACTTGGACAAAAGATCCCTTCCGAGCCCTGTACATGTACTTTGAGACTTAATATTGAGTGTGCTGTCCCAGCATGGAACCCGTACCTAAAGACGCACATGGCAAAACTAGAAAGTCCAAAAATATGCAACAAGGCTTGTTCCTGAGCTAAGGGGACTGAGTTATGAGGAAAACGTATGGGAACTGGACTTCACTACACTGCAGGAAGGAATAGGGCGGACATAACATAAAAGATACTAAGAGGAACCCAACAAAACCCAACAGAGCACCCACTTTGTAACAATTAACAAAATACATATAGAAGCATTGTTCAGATTAAGGAACAGTAGAACAAGGACATAATTGGAAATTGGAAACACACATGAGCCACAGGAATGTCAGAATGAACTTTTCAGTTCCAAAGTCGTAAATAACCGAAACCGATTAGATGAGGAAATTGTCGAAACCAATTTGTTACATTGGTTTAAATGTAAATATAAGAAAAAGCAGTTGAAAAGTTACTGCTTTGAAGTAATGATGGTGGAAAGGCAGGGCTTAAGAGCAGATGCTCGACCCTGCATGCTCAACTAGGCGAGCACAGTAGAGGTGCTGAGCATGCACAAGTGATATGAACAAAATTCCAAGGACATGTAAGAAGGGAATACAAGTCAACCTGGGGTCTTAGATCACGGGGAGCTGTACTGGGACGGTGAATGTAAATTATTAATTAAGTAGTAAGATGAGTGAGCAATGCAATCAATGCATGAGGACGTAGGTGAGAGAGCAAGTAAGCAGGTAGCTGGGGTGAAGTTATTCCCAGTTAAGAGTAAAGTGGGGGTGCACGATGGGGGGCCCCTGACACTCGCCTCCCCCACCGTGGTTGGTGAAGGACCCCTCCCCCCTCCCCCATTTTTTTGTATTTCGTAATTTGAGAGGTTAGTTTAATTTAAGGATATTTATTTGACAAATTTAGCTGTCCGAAATTACTTTCCTTGGACCACTTCTGTGTAATAATGCCAATGGAATATGGTCAACTGCTTTGTCAACAAAAGTAAAGTGCTTAGAGCAGGGGGTTCTTAACCTGGGGTCCGTATGGATGTTTACTGTATTCATACTTTGTTATACAGGGACAATCAGTGGAGATGCTTGTCAGTCCTCGTCGAGGCCACTAGGGTTAGTGGCCCTCTGGTACATAGGTAAATCAAATCCAGTTAGTTGGGAAGGAATCGGTAATAGCCAGAATTCGTCTTGGATACAAATATTCATAGAAATTCAGGATGGAAACAGCTGAGCAGCGGAGTTGCAGAATCTGTGGTGAGTGACGGACACTTGATCACTACCTGAGAGATGCTTGGTGCCTTCTTTTGGTAATTACTTACTTACCTGAGAGACTGTAAACAACTGAAGAGACATTAGAAATGTATTGAATAACAAACCTCACATTGTTTGAGTTAGGAAAATGTCAAATAGATAATGTTCTTAAGATTCCCCCATTTTTGCACCCGCAAGATAACGTAAATTTCAGGAGTTTATAAATGTTAATTTTTTGTTTGATTAGCTGTTCACTTGATAGTTCAGCAAGTCCCAGCTCCATTTGGATCCAAGTGGCAGGATGGACAACCCAGCGGGTTTTCTTCCTATTGGGGAGTGTTGTACATGCTGCTATGGCGGTGTGTCCACTCACAGGATGAGTGGCGCTGCCCAATAAACTTGCCCCTCGGGGTAAAATTAAATTATAATTAAATTTACCTCAATATTGACTCCCTACAGCCACCAGATGTGGGCCATTTACCACGTTATATTTACCTGCTTTGCGGGTAACCCTCAAGATGAGGTGGAGGGGGGGACTGATTCTTGGGTAATTTAAGGCCGGGGAACCTCTTAGTGGGTATCCACAGGGAAATAGCAGTTAGGCTATATAGACTACGTCTAGGTTATAGATGCAACTGGGAGATTGGTGAACCCCGATAGAGAGTGCATCTTCTGCCAAACTGTCACAGAAAAGCCATTACTTCACTATCTTCTGGAATGTGAAGCAACCAATGACCTTAGAAGAGCTTTAAGAGTTCCTGAATCGTGCAGTGGCCACCCTGAAGCCATCAACACAGCCACTCTCCTGGTCAACAAAGGTGTCCAGCAGCTGGACACCCTCATAAAGACTGTGAAGCAGTATCCTCCCCCGCGATAACAGCTTGATGGTTAAATGCAACCTCAGAATACTGAGAAAAAAAAATTGTACCACTTACGGGCTATTCATGCCCGTGCCACCTCTTGGGTGGCTTAATCTTTATCAATCAATCAATCTTAGTGGGTCACAGCCCTGCTCCTGTGCCAGGTAAGTCCACTACGGGCTCACCATAGCCCATGCTACTTGGAACTTTTGTTCTGAGTAGCTGAATCTAAAACTTGAACTTGAAACTCTTTGTGGGTGACGGGAGACATCTCCCGTCACGCAGGGTGCAGTCGCACCTCCACTGATCTCCAGTATCAGCTCTTGATACTGGTAATGGCTCAAAAGGGCCACCACTTACGGGCTATTCATGCCCGTGCCACCTTTTGGGTGGCTTAATCTTCATCAATCTTGGTGGGTGAGTGGGGTAACAGTGGCCAACCCGTAACTGTGAACCTGGACGACGTCTGGGCATGCAACCCGTCCTCGACTCAAGTCCATTACATTCAGCGGTCAACCCCACAGACGCATTCATATATTTTAACATGCTGTTCATTCAAAACGGGAATTTTCTCAAGTATAAATTAATATTATAATATATTAGCATATTGTGTGTAAATAGGCATAGGTTAGGTGTTTAGGTTCTGTTGGTGATTATTTGTATTTGTAGTACGTGGGTGAAGCATTTACAGCGTTGTGGTTCGAACAAAATTCGTCAGTGAAGCACTTGTTCCGGATATGTTCGAACGTCAGCAGTTGTGAGTCGTGTGTAAACCGCTTTTCATTCATAAACAGGGGGTTTGGCGGGTGCATGGAATCACTTTTGGATCTTTGTTTGGAGGACGGGCTGGGGCATGGTAACACCGGCTTCAAGGTTACTCTCACCTCATACCCAACCAGCCCGCGGGCGCACAATACTGCGCAGGATGTTAGTGTGTCTGGGATGCCTTTCAGTAATGTATGCATATAAATATAAAATACACACGCTGCAGGGGCCTCGCGGCTGAGTGGATGGTGCCTGGGGGTCGTAACCCGGGCCATTAGGCGGAAAC